ATCCTATTGCAACGCTCGTTCTATTGTTTTGAATACATCACATCACTGGAAGCGTGTGTTTGAGGGCGTGTTTTTCATCCATTCTATTTCTGTTCTGGCGGAGGTCTACACCTTCCGACCTACGGTACTTGTCTATTCAACTATGTGCGTGTACTACTGTAGGCGGGGTCACACAGGAGAGAGGACGGATGATTTCCGCATGACCCTCTCCACGATTGCCGTTCGTTTGCTCGCTCCTGCTTTCGTCGTCTGCCGATCGCCTCCAGGTCGTTGATTGGTTGATCGAACGAACGAAGTTTGGTTGTGTCTGCTGTATCGGGAAGGCCGTGCCCCTCCCTGCTGAATTCACTGACTCTCACTCACAGATGCCACACCCGCCCATGTCCCGCTGCCGCTGCCGCTGCCGCTGCCGCTGCTATGCTCAACCCCCGTTTGCTGCCGCCGATGCGCCACAGTTTGCAGACTGCCGTAGCAATCACTACAACTTTCCGTCTTTACGTCCACAGCAGCACTGCTACTGGGGGGAGGGAGGATTGAACCACAGCGCTACGAATTCTGTGCGCAGCAGGAGGGCCGCTGCCGTGAACCCTGTGCCCCCTCCCAGTCACATTCTAGCCTCCGATTGTTGCTGCCGATCCTTTTGTGGTTGCTGCTGCTGGTCCGGGTTCTTTCGATCGTGCCTGGCAGAAGGACAAAGGAGGCGGGAGCCATCAAGCTGCCAGGGTGCGGGCGTCTCATGCTGCCGCCGACAAGCAGCGGATCCCCGCGAAGTCCCGGTTGAAAGCATCGTTGAGTTGGTACAACATCAAAACACCAGGGTAGCGGCGGTGCGGTCCTCGCTTGGTCTCCTGCTGCTGCGGTGAGCTATTTAGCCGTCTTAAGGCGGCGTGTTTGTGTTTGGGGCGCTGTGAAACAATGATTGATTGAAGGGCAAGATTGTATGTGTGGAGCACTTTGCGGGCGTTTTGTTTTGTTCTTTGGCCGGTTGGCTTGGGGGCTGAACACTTCGTACTCGCGATTCTTTAACATATTTCACTCGCTCAAGAGTGCTATCTTTGTTGTGATGTTGCTTGAGGGCATCGCATGCACCGGAAGTGTATATTGAGGTGAATTGCGGGTGCGTTGGTATCTCCCGTGCACTTGTGAATGGCCAGGCATCCATTCGGGCTTTTGAGTCCCGACTCACTGCTGCTGTCGTAGCCTTCATGTTGTCTGCCTCCGAGTGATGGCACTACACTAGTTTCAGCGCCTCCTCTTGAGTGCAATGCCTACCTCCCTTCATCACCTCAATGTGCGTCATTGACACCAATGCAGCATGCAAGCGTACAGTACAGTACAGTACAGTATAGTACAGTACAGTACAGTATACCCTCCTTCACTCTTGTCTAAGGCTCGTTTGATACAGCGCTGTTTTCTTGATTTTGGAAGAAGAAAAATTGGAAGTAATCGAAATATTTGGAAACTTTCCAAAAATTTGGGACCTTGGGAGGGCCCGAATAATTGGGAACGGCTGCTTCCAAATTTGTTGCCTTCGAACTCGCTCCGCAAAGTTCCCTTGATTTGGAAACATTCCAAGAAATTGGCAAAACAGAGCTGTATAGAACGGCCCCAACAGTAGGATATTTGCCCTCGATCCCCATTTGCCTGCCACTACGCCCATTGCCACGGCGCTGCATGTTTGTCGGGTGCCTCCGGTCACAGGTACCGCCGCCGCTGCCGCCGCAGTCTTGCATTCTTCGGCATGCCGCAATATTCCGGGTTTGGCAACACCTCTGCCGCCACGCCCTGCGTCGAGGAGTCAAATAAGGTTTTGAAACATTGATGGTGTGGCGGAGAAAAGGAGCCGGCGGCATCGCTAGGAGGATTCTTCGGGTCGCTGATGGGCGGCATGGGCCAGACTTACAAAATCGTGGCCGGCACGGCAGCCGGTGAGCACCAGCAGCACCATTTTGTTGTCATTTGTCACTCTTCAGCCCTCCAGTCGAGAAAGCCCTGGCCGTTCACGTTTTTTCATCGTCACCCTGAGGTCGAACTATGCCCATTCACGTACGTCACGAAAAAGCCATCGGAAGTCCTGCACCCCAAATACCACACAAAAGTAGTTGACCTGCGACCACAAAAGGCGTCCGCGTCANAGGTTTTGAAACATTGATGGTGTGGCGGAGAAAAGGAGCCGGCGGCATCGCTAGGAGGATTCTTCGGGTCGCTGATGGGCGGCATGGGCCAGACTTACAAAATCGTGGCCGGCACGGCAGCCGGTGAGCACCAGCAGCACCATTTTGTTGTCATTTGTCACTCTTCAGCCCTCCAGTCGAGAAAGCCCTGGCCGTTCACGTTTTTTCATCGTCACCCTGAGGTCGAACTATGCCCATTCACGTACGTCACGAAAAAGCCATCGGAAGTCCTGCACCCCAAATACCACACAAAAGTAGTTGACCTGCGACCACAAAAGGCGTCCGCGTCAGTTGGATCGGTACGGGTATCAGAAGGCACCAACCAGGAAGACACCCGTTTGCTTTTGTGTGGAGATTGCGATTTCGGCAACAAGGACAACGATGAAAAGAAGAAGACTTTTTCTGCGAGAGCGGACGGTGCTTGGGGGATTTGACTTGCCCTTGCGACCGCCCGCCGTCGTGTCTCGGCAACACTTTGGAGGCACAGACCACCATCTGCCCGAACATGTCTATGCTTACCTTCTTTTTTTCTCTCTGCGCATGCTCGTTGTCTGCGCACGCGCGCGCAGTCTGCCGTGGGCCAGTTTGATTGTTTGACACCAGGCCAGGATTCAGCAGAGGTTGGCTCGAAGGAGGCGGGAGCGGGACTGGGCGCATGCATGGTGGCTTGGGTCATGGGTGCGATGGAACAAGGCGAGATTTTCTCTCATGAACCGATCGGCAGCAAGAATCATCGGATTCGATGCTTGTCTGTGTCGCACACAAACCCGAAAGTTCGTATTGGTTCTACCGTGTATGTTTATTGGTTTGGCTCGGTTCTGATGGTGACGTTCACACGACCACGGCCCTGAGACGTGTACAGCATTCGGCACCGGCGTTCAGGCAACCCACGCCCCGACCCCGCTGGTCCCGTCGTCTCCCGTGATCGTATCCTCCCGACACCCCCTGGGGTCCCTCGGCGCATATCTAGTTGTCTCGTTGAATTGTTGGTGTGACTGCTGTCTCTCTCTCGCGCCGCCTTTGCCCTTGTTTTTTGGCAGGCGGGGCGGCTTGGCGTGTTGGGCTCGATTGCTGAAGTTCGGAAGGTTTCCCCGTGTCGTCGTATTCTGTTGCATTGTTTTCTTGCAAGTGTCCACCGGACCCTGTTCTTATGATGGTGCGTCTATCGTGACCACGGGTCCGGGTACCACACGCGTAGGCGCACGTTGTCCCCGCTGCTCCCCTGTTCCTTGCATAACCTACCAGACAACCACGGATCCGCAGCCCTCGGCACGACCACGGTGCCTGCGAGAGGCAACCCAGGGTCCCGGCCGCCTCTCGGGATGCAGCCGAGGAGGAGAGGGCGTCGGTCCGGCAGATGTGCTCCGATCTGAGGAGAGACATGTCGGCCTGAGTCGGCGGTGGTAGCGAGGCTACTCCTTCCCCTTCGACCTCGTGCGCCAGAGGCAGCGGCGGGGAAGGAGGTGGCAGCGGCGGACTTGCTGGTGCTGCTCACGGCAGGGACGAACGGCGCCAGCGGCAAGCGGCGGTGGGGCTTATCGTCCACCTGGAGCGAGCAAGGGGAAGCGGCGACCGAGCCTTCGCGACGAGCGAGCCGCTGCTGATACACGACTACAAGCGCGTGGTAGTTTCGCCCGTCGGTGGCAGCGGCGGGAGCGGCGCTTTCGGCGAAGGCGTTCTGCACGTCGTCGTTCGCGGGGGCGGCGGTTATTTCGCGAGCCCGTCGGCGGACAGCTCCGTCTCCAGGGACAGGGCGAGGCGCGCGAGAGAGCTCAAGAAGGTCGTGCTCGCGGAGGAGAGGGGAGGCGCCACCGCCGCCGCCGCCGCAGGCACGCGCACCCCCGGCGGGCAGAACTGGCAGAAGGTGGAGGCTTCCGACGCGCTCTTGCTAGGGAGGATGTCGGTGCTCTCGGCGCGGGAGTTCGACTCGCGGCGAGGGTACTGCGGCCGGTATCCCGACGTGTACGTCCATCAGCAGCAGGTGCCCCTGGCCCGGGCATCCCCCAACTTGCGGGCGGAAAAGCAGGAAGGCAGATGCTTCTTGTTGTTCTCCAAGCTCTATTTTAGGTCTGGAGTATACCGCTGCTAGGAACGTGCTTGCTTCTTGTGGTTTTGATGCTTGTGTGTAGGTGTTGTGTTTGTTTTGGCGTACATGTTCATGTGGTCGCCTACGGGGCATGAGTAGGCCTGGAGGAGGCGGACGATATAAGAGAGGCATTTCGGCGGTGCTACCAGTAACTGACCCGGCACGATCGTTGAAGGGTATTTCCTTGTGTCTATTGAGTCTACCGCCGCTGCAGGGATGTGTTTGCTGAAGGCTTCAGGGCCGCTCTGTTTTTGTTTCTTCCATTCTGATGGTGTCATCTTACGCGTCGACATGGACGGACACCACGGGAAGAACTTTTACATAACCTGCGAACTAAAACTGTATCTGTGTCATGAGGCTAACCAACCTGTTGCGATGTTTCTTGTTGCGCAAGGGACTTGGGAAGGAGACACACTGCAGAAGCCTTACTGTAAGTATCAGCACTAATTGTTTTCTTCAGGGTTGCCTCAGGCAGGTCAAGAATATTCGTGGGATCACACAGCATTCACCATTCTTGGCACACAGCGGCCAATAACCACCCGCGCCATGACGGTGTGGCCCAGGTCTAGTGTGGCGACAGCACACACGCCCTGCAGAGGAAACACGGACATTGCATGCCAATTCCATCACAACCTTGGCCAGTGAGTGCGGTCCGGTCCACTCCATCTTCGAGCCGCTCGCTTTAAATATGTACACGCCCTTGTTTGGCCCCCCTGATACCTTTGTTAAATAACCATTCTTGTTTCCTTGAATGTTTCATGTCACGAACTCAGATTGCATTTCCTTGTCACACTGCCGACCAAGGGCCGAAGGAAAAGAAAATCACCATATCGTTCTGGCAGTACAATGGCCAGGTTTACTTCTTCTACAACCAATGGGCACAAGTTAACAGGAATCCAACACCACGTGACCCCTGCGCTTCGGCACGAAACGCAGCACCAACCGGGCAGGCAGAAAGAGCCCGCAGACACGCCCCCCCACAATCCTTGAGATCGAATCAAGAACAGACGCAAGCTGGAGCCACAATGCTCCTCTCGCCGCAGCCCCCTTCAGCGAGAAGCGAGGGATGCAAAAAAAACCGCATGTGCCCGATTTTCCCGAAATAAGTAGCACGCAAACCGGGCTAACAGGAAAAAAAGTCGTTGATCGTGGAAACAATCTAGTTGTACATGGGCTCGAGTTTTTGCCGTTTATGGAAATGCACCATCGGGGATAGGCAACAAGGACCTCCAAATACGAAGTACATAGTAGTCCGTGCCACATCCGTCGAAAGCAAACCCACTGATGGACCAAAGCCATAGCTGTAAAACTGTTCTGATTCCACGGCTTGACAGTAAACTGCACCTGAGGCGGGGCAAAGGGTCGGATGAACCGACACCCCGCTCAACGCCTTCGAGAGCAAGTTTACTGCCAAGATAACAAACAAAATCAACCCTGCTGCTGCTCTAGGTACCGGCGGAGAAGTCCTGTCCCCCCTCCCCTCCCCCGGACATGGCGTTCGATCCGTTGGCGGCACTGCTGTCATCTCCCTCTCCATCTCCTACCGCCTTCTTTGACTTGCGCCCGCGTTTTCCTCTCCTGGTCTTCCCGTTCGGCCGTGAGCGCTGGTCCTCCCCCTCCCCCTCCTTCTGCTCCCCCTCCTCATGTGGCGGCCCTGAGAGTTTGTCGGCCTCCTCCTCAATCTGCTCCTCCTTCTGCTCCCCCTCCTCGTGGGGCGGCCCCGGGAGGTTCCCGCCCGCCTGCTCCTCGCCCTCGTCGTCGTCGCCCCCCCCGTCTTCCTTGAGTTGCTTCTTGGTGGCCTTCCAATGGGCGAAGTGTGGGCCTAGCTTGGGTCCCTCGCCCCACACTCTGCTGGACTCCTCCGCTCTCTCCTCCATCCTGTACAGGACCTTCTTGATCCTGCGCCCATTAGTTTTCATGACGATGTTCTGAACCGTCAGGAGGCCAGATCCGAGGGCGTCGGTGTTCTCCTTGACGTTGTTCAGCTTGGCCGTGAGGTTCCCCATAGCCTCCTCGGTCTCCTGCTGGAATCTGGCCATCTCCTCACGAAGCTTGGCCTGCCCCATCTCCAGCTGCTCGGTGCCGGAGCGGAATATCTCGTCCATCACCGCCTTCTCCATGGCAGCAGGCATGTCGGCAGCTTGCTTTGTCAGCTGAAGGACGTCTGCGCGGACGGAGGCGATGGTGGCAGGCGTGTCACCAAGCTCGTCCTTCACGCGACCCAGAAGCCTAGCCTCGACGCCGTCGAGCTTCTTCTGCCACTTGCCGTCCTTGGCCTCACGGTTCTCCCGGACCATCTGCCCAAAGGCGAGCAGCGCCTCCTTTTTGGAGGCCTCGACGGCCTTCTTCATCGACAGCTTGGCCTTCCGCCTCTCCTCCTGGAGCTGGCTCTGGAAAAACAGCTGCATCTTCGCCTGACACGCGGCGACGGCAGCGGCGGTGGCAATCTCTGCCTCCCTCTGCCACTTCGCCCTCTCCTCCTCAAGTTGGCTCTCCATCTGCTTCTTCGACGACGCGATGCCGGTGGCGATGGCCAGCCACCAACGCCGGCAGAGGGTGAGCAACAGCCAGAAGAAGCCAAAGGCGACGCACAGCGCCGTCATCGAACAGAATCTAGGCCAGCTGGCCATCGGGAAACTGGACGCTCTCTGATGGGCGAAGAAGAGGAGCTCTGTGACATTCGCCAAGGAAGGGACATGATCGGTGAGCCTGTATCCAGGAGAACAGGGGGGTCACGGCGGACAAGGTCGGGAGGAAGGGGAGGGGTCAAAGCAAGTCGTGGATGTCGAACTGCTGTCATGCGTGTTGAAGTAATTTCTACGCCGATTACGGCGGCATCAAGGCTAGTCACTGCTGTCGAATATGTAAGTGCGCATCGATGAAAGCTCCAAAACCAAACGGCGAACCTCATGCGCGATTCCAGGCATAGGCATTCGTGCGTACCCCGTACCAAGGGTAAGAACACGCTATGCAACACGTCAAGTTACGGAAGGTACGGACATATTTGGCAGCAGCGCTGAGAAACTCATCAGGCAATCGCACAGCTGCAGAACAGAAAATACTGTTGAGACGGAACTCCCGTGATGGCAGGGAATCTTATCCCTGAAAGATGGTTCAGCGCCAATTTCACCAACATCGCGGGTAACGTCATCACCAGTGGCATGGCTCTCGCCATCCACCCAACAGTTGGGCACACACGATGCGCTCCAAGCCGACGGGGGAACGTATCGTCTGAAGCAGCGATGTTCCAAGGAACACTGCCGTGCACGAAGAACATGACCGAAGCATACCTGAAAGGCATGGCAGCAGGCACGCTGTAGTTCCACGAACGCCACCCTGCCTTCTGGACCAAGACCATGAGGCCCCAGAACCCGAACTGGATTCTGCCACTTGCCGTCCTTGGCCTCACGGTTCTCCCGGACCATCTGCCCAAAGGCGAGCAGCGCCTCCTTTTTGGAGGCCTCGACGGCCTTCTTCATCGACAGCTTGGCCTTCCGCCTCTCCTCCTGGAGCTGGCTCTGGAAAAACAGCTGCATCTTCGCCTGACACGCGGCGACGGCAGCGGCGGTGGCAATCTCTGCCTCCCTCTGCCACTTCGCCCTCTCCTCCTCAAGTTGGCTCTCCATCTGCTTCTTCGACGACGCGATGCCGGTGGCGATGGCCAGCCACCAACGCCGGCAGAGGGTGAGCAACAGCCAGAAGAAGCCAAAGGCGACGCACAGCGCCGTCATCGAACAGAATCTAGGCCAGCTGGCCATCGGGAAACTGGACGCTCTCTGATGGGCGAAGAAGAGGAGCTCTGTGACATTCGCCAAGGAAGGGACATGATCGGTGAGCCTGTATCCAGGAGAACAGGGGGGTCACGGCGGACAAGGTCGGGAGGAAGGGGAGGGGTCAAAGCAAGTCGTGGATGTCGAACTGCTGTCATGCGTGTTGAAGTAATTTCTACGCCGATTACGGCGGCATCAAGGCTAGTCACTGCTGTCGAATATGTAAGTGCGCATCGATGAAAGCTCCAAAACCAAACGGCGAACCTCATGCGCGATTCCAGGCATAGGCAGTCGTGCGTACCCCGTACCAAGGGTAAGAACACGCTATGCAACACGTCAAGTTACGGAAGGTACGGACATATTTGGCAGCAGCGCTGAGAAACTCATCAGGCAATCGCACAGCTGCAGAACAGAAAATACTGTTGAGACGGAACTCCCGTGATGGCAGGGAATCTTATCCCTGAAAGATGGTTCAGCGCCAATTTCACCAACATCGCGGGTAACGTCATCACCAGTGGCATGGCTCTCGCCATCCACCCAACAGTTGGGCACACACGATGCGCTCCAAGCCGACGGGGGAACGTATCGTCTGAAGCAGCGATGTTCCAAGGAACACTGCCGTGCACGAAGAACATGACCGAAGCATACCTGAAAGGCATGGCAGCAGGCACGCTGTAGTTCCACGAACGCCACCCTGCCTTCTGGACCAAGACCATGAGGCCCCAGAACCCGAACTGGAATAAATAAAGGGTGGGGTCGGAGGGGCAGGGAGTGGAAGGGTTAGCTGAGCGAAGTTGCTGCAAAGGAGTGGTGCAGTCCTCGTCTGTCTCGGTCACGAGACAATACGTGAGTGCGTGTTCGACAGCAGTTCTGGGCAATATCAACCGTGCCTATGATGCTCCGGAAATCTCGCCAACTAATAGCACCGCCTCCGCCGTTCAACAAACCCGAATCGCCGGGGGTGGTTGTTATTATTGTTGTTGTTGTTGTTGTTTTTGTTGTTGTTGTTGTTGTTGTTGTTGTTGTTGTTGTTGTTGTTGTTGCTGTTGTTGTTGTTGTTGTTGTTGCGGTTTGCAATCACAATAAAATCGGTTCGGGTGTCCGCTCAGTACCTTCTAACATCCGTACTGGTCCAACTGACGCGGACGCCTTCGGTGGTCACAAGCCAACTACTCCCCCACAAGGGGTACACCTTCCTAGGAGAAAAAAAATATATACTACGCGAATATCATGAAGCTCACGTGCTTCTTGGCGTCCGCAACGTTCACCATCGAATCCTGCTCGACTTCGCACTCGCGCACGATGCGGTGCAGTTGGGATACCTGCCGGACAATGTTAGCCTCGGCCAGAAAAGCGCGTTCGACCATCTGGGTGAGGTCGACCGGTGTCACGGACGACAAGGTCGCCACCACGCACGCTGCAGGCTCCTCGCATAAGGGCATGGGACTCCTCTCGTCGATTGCCTGCAGCACGCGATGGGAAGGTGAAGCATCGGGAGAATATGGTGAAGGCAGTGTAAGAGATAGAAATCAAAGGGTAGTCCGCGCCAACCATCGTTGATTTCCCACGAGAAACTGGCAGTAGCAGCAGCACCTGCAGCACCAGCAGCACCAGCAGCATCGGCGGGAAATACTGGCGTTGAACCGATTGGGGTGTGGGAATGTCCAAGAGAGACAAGCACATGGGACGAAACGGAACAACACTGCCATCAATAGACTTTAGACTAATACTGCTGGAACACACGCATTTCACACTTACTGTATCAAAAAATACCCCCCAAGCTTACCGGCCAGCCAACGAACGGAGGCCACAAGCAGGAGGTGCCGTTGTCGCCAAAGTCGGTGAGGGGCACCATGGCCGTCGGGGAAGACGACGGCGTTGCGTTGGGGGCGAAACAGACGTCTCCGAACTGCGTGTCCGGCTGTTGCCGGCAGACGTAGTTGCGTGCGCGCGGCGAGGTAGGGGGAGAGAAGCAGCCACGGACGGAGCGGAGCACGCGGTTAGTCGGGGCAGTACTGTGGACATGTGTTCTAGTCAGGCGGACTAGGGAGAAATTCAGCCAAGGGTGTATGGTTGGGTTCGATAGCGAGGGGTGTGATATGCAACCGGTCGTATCGTGTCGAAGGACACCACAAGCAGAAAGTTGCCCATACGCAAACGCATCATGTCTACATGTACCTCAAATATTTTTACAACTGCCGCAAAGCGTGGGATACCCGCATGGGACTGCACTTGACTCCCGCAATATTACAATATGGCTGTCGAAATCAATGCTTCTTACCAGCCAATCCAATCCAATCCTGCCAGCGTGCCCTTCACGTTTAATAGGCTGGCAGGAGCGGGGGCGGGAGGGACAGGTTAGAAACAGGAGGTTGGAGTCAGACGAATTGCCTATTTTGTATATCCCTCACAGCTATGGGGTCGACCCCTTGGTTGGACAATGGCATATTGCGGGGGTACTCTGAATACATTTCACGGCATGTATGATACTGCAGGAGAGACCGCCGAAAAAGCACGCACGATAATGTCTGAGGAGACGTGGAGAACATTGTACATAGTGCGTCTCCCAAAAAAACTGAAAGTAAACGATACCCAAACCACAAAAACGAATACCCACAGCACGCATGCCTGCCATTTCTCACCCTTGCCCATCTGCCATCAAGACACGTCTACCAACATCATCATGAACGCAGGCACACCGAACTTTTCACGCCCGCCTGCCCGAGATAGGTTTTCAAACAACACAAGGGTTGAAGATACCACACACACACATCAACCCCGTCAATGCCTCCCCTGCTACAATTGATCTTCATCACTTACCTCCAAGACACACTCCCTGCTGGGCTGGATCGTGCCCGCAAACGCCGCTTCCCTGAGGCCAGAGCCGGGTTCCTGCCCCACCGCAATACCCTCCTCTAGGAGGAAGGTGGCGTCGATGTCCTTGAACATGTCCCGTAACGCAGTCGGAGCGCCCACGAGCAAGGTGGTGGCTCGCCCAAGCAGCCCAGGTTTGCCTTCGAAGGCATCCACCGCCGGCGGCAGCATGGCCGTCACAAGAAGCAGCAGCAGCACCAAAAAGCACCTCATGGTTTTCTTGCCTGCGTGGATCGGGAACGGGATCGAAGCGGCAAAAGGCGTGGTTTTGGTGGCCTAGTAGACATTTCTTGACTGGACACATTCCCAAAATATATACAGCAGTGGCCCCATNAGGTGGTGGCTCGCCCAAGCAGCCCAGGTTTGCCTTCGAAGGCATCCACGGACGGCGGCAGCATGGCCGTCACAAGAAGCAACAGCAGCACCAAAAAACACCTCATGGTTTTCTCGCCTGCGTGGATCGGGAACGGGATCGAAGCGGCAAAAGGCGTGGTTTTGGTGGCCTAGTAGACATTTCTTGACTGGACACATTCCCAAAATATATACAGCAGTGGCCCCATAGGCACGTTGAATGGTACTTGTACCATATAGCTCCGGGCGAGGGACAATCAAAGGGTGTCGTGTGGCGCAAATCAATATCTCCTCGGATCTTCAATAATATGATTCACGGAGGAATCGGGTCCCGGGCAACACTGCTGAGCCTTGAAGGTCAAGAGCTTCCGCGACTCACGCGGCGATCTGTCAATATCTCTTTCGAGTGCGATCAACGCTGGGCAGCGGTGGCATGGGCATGAGAAGGATCTCTTTATGTGTGCTTGTGTGGCCACACAGCAAGAGGGGATCAGAGTCGGCGTGGCTCTGCAGTAGATCAAAGAGCAGGCACGCGTTGTAGGAGAGGTCCATGCTCTTTCAACCAGCGGCCTTGTTTGAGAGCGGAGCACAGCCACGCCGTGGCCCGTGGCCGCCGTACATGCTTACGGATGCGCTGTGTACGCCCTGGAGAAAAAATCTCACCAAACGCCTGCGCGCTCTCTCCTCTCCATCTGTGCTGGGTAGATTACCCTTCCCTCTTCCGTTCCCTCACAAAAGCACACCTCCTGTCCACGAAAAAGCGCGCACACACGCCACGCACCTGCTTGTTCTTGCTCCTCATTCGTTGCTCCGCTCTTTCTCCTCCTCTCCTCTCGCGCAGGATCTTACTTCTTGTCCTCCCGCTCAACGCAGGATAGATCGGCGGCCGTTCTCCGAAAAGAGCCACCGGCCGAGCTTTGAACCTGTTTGCCCGCGCAAAAACACCTGCTCTCCCTCTGTCTCTCTCCGCTCAAAAGTGACAAGCCAAAAAAGGCGGGATTAGATGAGAGTAACTCGGTGGCCGCATGCTCCAGGATCCAGCCGGGCTCTGTCTTAACGCTTCCACGGGGTTTCGAATCCGTTACGCATCGACAGCCGGTAGCGCAAAAAGGCACCGGGCCGATGACAACCTTCAACGGAATATCCAACGATGTCCAATCTGCACCGCCACAAGAGGTCCGAACTGATGTGCTGCGGACATTCTTTTCATTCCGTTCCCGGCCCTCTCTTCCGCCGTGCAATCCCACAAGGCCTGTGAGCTCGTGCTATCGCTCCTTTCAGCATGGACGCTACGGCGTGGTGGTCGATCGACAAGCTAGCAGTTGCTAGCAGGTCGTAGGGGCCCTATGGCAGCGACCGATCTCCGTTTCTCAACCCCCCCCCTCCTCTCTGTATCGGGTCCCTAATCTCCGGAGATGTTCACAGCTCTGCTCTCTTCTCTGACTGCTTCGCTGCTCGCTTGTATCGACCAAAGCCTCCCTTTTTACGCTCGCTTGATGACTGCTGGTGTAGGCTCTGCGCGGATGGAGCCATGGGCCAGCTCCAGGCACTGATGTGAGAAGACGAGGCACCTACATCCTGTCGGATGATGGTCATATATAGGTGACAGTGAAAACTTGCCAACTCTGCCCGATTACACTGTACTTCAATTTTGTTTTGTCATGTTTGGGGGACGTCACCCCGACTGCAGTCTATCTACCCATAGCTACACACCCCGGGAAACAGTGTCCCCGCCT